GCAGATGCTGAGAGCATTGCTGAGGTTGGATGGACAGCTCTGTGCCTCGTTTGCAGAGGTTAATGAGTGCCCACAGCCTCGTAAAACACCGATGCCAACAAGCGACAGCTGAATTTGTGCCGCTGTTTCCCTCGCCCAGAAAGCGCCCCCGGCACAGGCAGCCAAGGGCTTTGCCCGCTGTCTCGTAAACTGAATTCCATGGCAAGAAAAGAGTGGCTCAGTTTTCACGTCTGCCCCCGACTCCCAGCACAGGACCAGGCAGGGAATTCCCCAGTCCACGGAACACCTACCTCGAAGGGAATATTCACCCGGATGGGGTTTCCTGCTCTTACCACCAGGAGGTTTTTCACCGTGTCGTCGATCAGTAACCTGGGGGGAACTGGTAAACACAGGGGTTGCACTCAATAGCTGGACATCTACACCTTTCAAATTCCACTGCTATTTATCTATCACTGTGGGCAAAGGAGGGGAAACGACTTAAAAATACATTCACAGCAATCTCTGTGTTCGTGTGATGTCTGAATCATGGAGAAACTGGCCCTTTGACACTCTTCATCCCATCACAGGGATGATCTTTGGTGTTTAAATGGTGTCTGGAGACAAGGAAATTCCGAGGGACATTTACAAATTACACGTTCAACACAGAGCACAGAAAACCCACAGGAGACCAGCCAGAGTTTATTTCAAATAATATTATTTTAGTATTCAAAATATATATTTTTTTAACCAATATAATATACTATTGTATTTAGTATTTTTCTTTAAATGCCAAATATAATAGTGTTAAATTATAGTTAGTGTTTCCACTACAAAACTGAAAAACCTGCTTCCCAGATGGACTTATTTTACCTATTTACTGATTGATTATAAAAGGAGTCTCCAGGCATAGCCCAAAAGTAGACAATTTCCCTTAGGCCCCAAGTTAAGGAAGATGAATCCCTCACAGAATTATCTCTTACTTCTGTAATTCTGCAACATTCCCAAGCAGCAGGGGAAAAAAAGGCAGAGCTACAGATTGTAAATCAAGATGGAAAAGTGGAAATGGTAAAAAACTTTCAAACTAGACAACTAAAAAGTAAAATAAAGTATCCAAAAAACAACCTAAAAATTGGGATTTAAGGGAACGAAATAAAATGCTTAGTTCCACAAGACTGTGTGAAAAGAGACTGAAAACTCTATTTTCCCTTAAAAGAGGTGGATAGGGATAAGGGATGTGGGGTTTCTGTCTGGTGACTGTGGTAAGGTTCTGCAAATATAAATATAAAAATATAAATCCAAAGAGAAGAGAGAGTTTTGGGGGTTCTTTTGTCCTACTGAGTCTCCAACATGAGCCGAACGCTGTGCTCTGCACATCTGACATCGGGTAAATATTCAGAATTTCCTGGTGACGTGACCAGGTCACAGCAGAGTGCAGGGGAGACACGGAGTGCTCATCATCCTCCTGTCAGTCTGGGGTGTGAAGGAAGCTCATCCCCGTGTCCCACAGCCCTCTGTGCAGCCTGGACCTGGCTCCCCACCAAGGCCCCAGAGATCCACATCGAAATCCCCCCCCTTACATGAAGGAAAGGGAAGAGGGGAAAAGGAACCAAAAGACACAAAATAAACTGAGCTAAAGCAGTATATATATATATATATACATATTTAAACTTATATACCACTGCAAAAAAACCCATTTACATATAAGAAAGAGAAAACCCCAACACCCCGAAACCCAAACGGAAAAACCGATATAGGCAGATGTACACAGTTAGTAGAGAGCTAGCACAGGAATCTTCATACTTCCCTTAGGAAAGCAGAACTGCACCACCAGCCATCCCATCCCGAGGGGATGAAGTAACCATCTCCCAGGGCCCACGGCAAACCCCGGGAGCTCAGCGGGGCTGCCCCTCCTCTGCAACCCCAGTGAAGAGCTCTGACCTCTGACTAACTTCCTTCCCCCTTGTAGTAACACTTCTGCTTCTGTTCAGAGACAGAATGGAATACTGGGATACAGCCACTTTCCCGGTTTCGACCTGGTTGTCAGGAAGGCCTGGACCAAACCACCACCCCCCGGCTGCTCCCGTTCCCCCTGGCAGGAGCCCCCGACTCACCCGCCGGGGCCGCGGCCTCCGCGACGGCCTCGAGCTCCGCGGCCTCCCCGGGGCCGCTGTCGTTGAGGGCCCTCACACGCAGCAAGTACTTCTCCTTGGGCTGCAGGCCCTTGATGGTGCCCGTGGTGGCCTCTGCAGGGAGGGTGAGGCACTTGGTCCAGCTGGAGCTGTGGGAAGGCCTCATCTCCACCTCGTAGCCCTTCACTTCGTTCCCGTCCTTGACCTCGGGCCTGTTCCACGTCAGGGTCACGCTGGTGCTGTCACAGCTGCTCACTCTGAGCTCCTGCACTTGGCCCGGGGATTCTGGAGAGAGAAATTTTGTTGAAAGTATTTTTTCTAGGATTTCTGTTCCATCTTTTCAGTCACTTCCTGAGATTCCCCGGCGTTCTTGGAGAGCACTGGATACCCACCCTGTTGTCGTGCCCACGCCTCGTCCCGGTTCTTGAAAGGTGGATCTTTGCTCCTGCCAGCCCTGCAGGACAACCCACAACACCCCCAACATGGCCTGCAGCCCATCCCGAGTCCTTCACACTGCACAGACCCCACACAGGGAGTCTGCCACACCTTCCCTTGGACATCCCACGGGAAATCCTTCTGCTCCTTCCTCGAGCTCATTCTCAACCCTGAAACATTCCCCAGCTATTTGATCTTTGTCTTCACACACTTTTACAGAGCATTTCAGAAGGTCTGTTCTCCACTAACCCCCCCAGTGTACGTTCAGCCACCCCAGAAGCAGAAGGACAGAGCACTCACTCGTGGGGTCCCGGGCAAAGACGGGCGGGGAGGGGTCGCTGGCATCTCCTGTGCCAGCAGCATTGACAGCTGCCACCCGAAACTCGTACTGCACACCCTTCTTGAGGCTGGTCACCTTCAGCTTCTTGTCTGCAGGAAGGAAAGGAGTGTGTTGGCTCGGCTGAGCTGCCCCCCAGCAGGAAAGGAGAGACAACAATGCTGGACCTCACTCTGGGTAGAATTATGGACTGAATCATTCTCAGGAGCTGTAAATGCTGTCATTGACTCCCCTGCCCTCCCCTATCCAAGTGCGTGTGTTCTTCTGGGATGTGTTCATTCAAAAACAGCACTTGAATCACAGAATCACAGAATCATTTAGGGTGGAAAAGACCTCTGAGATCATTGAGTCCATCCTGTGCCTGATGCCCCCATTGTCCCCCAGCCCAGAGCACTGAGGGCCATGTCCAGTCCTTCCTTGGATAACTCCAAGGGTGGGGACCCCATCACAGCCCTGGGCAGCCCCTGCCAAGGCCTGACCACCCTTTCCAGGAAGAAATTCCTCCTGATGTCCAACCTGACCCTCCCCTGGCACAGCCTGAGGCCGTTCCCTCTCCTCCTGTCCCTTGTTCCCTGGGA